CGTCCGCATGTCCACTGACATGGCATTCACAGGTAAACTCATCCTCTTAACATTTTTTCCTCTGTTAAAGGTAAATAACATAAGGTTACTCCACTGCTTAAAATACTTTAATGCTTTCCCATTGTAGTTGTTACGGTACTTAACAGGTCTGCATGATCTAGCTTTTGCCTACCTCTCCAGTCTCCTCTCATATGAGCTCCTTCCTTCCTTACTGCATTGTAGCCACATTGAATTTCTTTAGCTCCTCAAATGCGCCAAGTTTTGTGTGTGTGTGTGTGTGTGTGTGTGTGTGTGTGTGTGTGTGTGTGTTTGTGTGTATTTTGCTACATGGACCTCACATATACAGATACACAGTAATATTCTCTCTCTCTCTCCAAATGCTCTTATTCACACACTTCATCTGGCTAACTCAGTTCTCAGTTTAAATGTCATTTCTTTAGTGATACTTTTCTTCTGATATTAATCTAAACTATGTCCCTTGTGTTATTCTTTCCCATAGCACCCAGATGGTTTCCTTTTTTTCTTTTCTTTTTTTTTTTTTGAGGTGGAATTTCACTCTTGTTGCCCATGCTAGAGTGCAATGACATGATCTCAACTCACTGCAACCTCCGCCTCTCGGGTTCAAGTGATTCTCCTGCTTTGGTCTCCTGAGTAGCTGGGACTACTACAGGCATGCGCCACTATGCTCAGCTTTTTAAAATTTAATTTAATTTAATTTAATTTTATTTTATTTTAAGTAGAGACTGGGTTTCACCATGTTGGCCAGGTTGATCTCGAACTCCTGATCTCAGGTGATCCCCCCCCCCACCACCTTGGCCTTCCAAAGTGCTGAGCTACTACTGTGCCATGTTTCTTTGCCATATATATATATATATTTTAGATGGAGTCTCACTCTGTTACCCAGGCTGGAGTGCAGTGGCACGATCTCAGCTCACAGCAACCTCTGCCTCCTGGTTTCAAGTGATTCTTGTGCCTCAGCCTCCCAAGTAGTTGGAATTACAGACATGCACCTCCATGCCCAGCTAATTTTTGTATTTTTCTTTTTTTTTTCAGTAGAGATGGGGTTTCACCATGTTAGCCATGCTGGTCTCAAACCCCTGACCTCAGGTGATCCACCCACCTCAGCCTCCCAAAGTACTAAGATTACAGGTGTGAGCCACAGTGCCTGGCCTGGTTTCCTTATTATTTTCACTTGTCAAATGTGTATGTATGTATATTTGTGTGTGTGTTTTATGCTGTACATACATACTTTTTTTTTTTTTTTTTTTTTTTTTTGGACAGAATCTCGCTCTGTCGCCCAGGCTGGAATGCAGTGACATGATCTCAGCTCACTGCAACCTCCGCCTCCCAGGTGCAAGCAATTCTCCTGTCTCAGCCTCCTGAGTAGCTGGGATTACAGGTGCATGCCACCATGCCCAGCTAATTTCTGTATTTTTAGTAGAGAGGAAGTTTCACTATATTGGTGAGGCTGGTCTTGAGCTCCTGACCTCAGGTGATCCACCTACCTCGGCCTCCCAAAGTTGGGATTACAGGTGTGAACCACAGTGTCTGGCCTGGTTTCCTTATTATTTTCACTTGTCAAATGTGTATGTATGTATATTTGTGTGTGTGCGTTTTTTCTTTTGCTGGGTATTGATAAATGCTAAATCTTGATAATTTTACACATCCAATAATTGGAATAATTTCCCACAGATTAGCTTCAGGTTCCCAAAATCTCAATCCTGCTTCTCTTCTACTGTCCACATAGTGTTTTTTTTTTTTGAGACAGAGTCTAACTGTCACCCAGGCTGGAGTGCAGTGGTGAGATCTCGGCTCACTGCAGCCGCTGCCTCTCAGGTTCAAGCAATTCTCCTGCCTCAGCCTCCTGAGTAGCTGGGATTACAGGGATCCGCCACCACACCCAACTAATTTTTTGTACTTTTAGTAGAGACAGGGTTTCACTGTGTTGGCCAGGCTGGTCTCGAACTCCTGACCTCGTGATCCATCTTTGATGTTAGATTATTGGACACATTAAAATAACTTTAAGAGTTCTGGCCCTGCACCTTTGTTTTACAATGCTGGGTGGATTAGCACAATGGGTGATTGGAGTATTCTTGGAAGCCAACTGGGACAGCTGGCATTATCTTAACTACACATGGAAGTGACTGTGGGTTACAAAAATATATCCCAGTAAATTCAAACCAAATGTATTCCTAACTCAACTTCCCTTCAGCTAAATTTAAAAAATGCTTACTTGCCACTTCAACACTAGACAAAGGGAAACATTGTGGAGGGAAGTCACTAAGGACTGAATATTGCAGTTTAAAATACTTTACTTTTACAAATTTTACAAAAGCATAGGACAGTGTGAACATATTACTAGAGACCCTTCCAGGGACTTGGAAAGGGCTAGTGCAAATGGGGGCCCCCGAAGTTGAAGCCTCCTTGGCTTCACAATAAATCTGCTTCAGGGTCTAGGGCCATTTTAATTACTGAGTAAACTGTCAACATTCAGAGCCAGCACTATGTAGGGCCAGTGAATATGTCAATTATAGCTCCACTTGAGGCAGGTTTTTTTTTTTTTTTTTTGAGATGGAGTCTGACTCTGTCCCAGGCTGGACTGCAATGGTGCGATCTCGGCTCACTGCAGCCTCTGCTTTCTGGGCTCAAATGATTCTCCTGCCTCAGCCTCCTGAGTAGCTGGGATTACAGGTGTGCGCCACAACGCCCAGATCATTTTTGTATTTTTAGTAGAGATCAGGTTTCACCATGTTGGACAGGCTGTTCTTGAACTCCTGACCTCAGGTGATCCACCTGCCTCAAAGTGCTGGGATTACAGGCGTGTGCCACCACGCCCAGCTGAGAGATTTTCTAACAGGAAGATACCTTTTTCTCTTGTGTCAAAGGGCTCCCTTCTATTTATTTAGATTAGTGATTCTCAAACTCCTTTTTTTTCTTTTTCTTTTTTTTTTGAGACGGAGTCTCGATCTGTCACTAGTGTAGAGTGCAGTGGCGCAATCTTGGCTTACTATAACCTCCGCTCCTGTGTTCAAGCGATTCTCCTGCCTTAGCCTCCCAAGTAGCTACAACTACAGGCAAGTGCCACAACTCCCAGCTATTTTTTGTATTTTTAGTAGAGATGGGTTTCACCGTGTTCGCCAGGATGGTCTCCATCTCTTGACCTTGTGATCTGTCCCCCTTGGCCTCCCAAGTGTTGGGATTACAGATGTGAGCCACCATGCCTGACCTCTTTGGTTTTATGGTTATTTTACATGCCTAAAAAGTATTGAGGACTTCAAAAAGCTTTTTTGTGGATTATATTTATCAACATTTGCTATATTAGGAATTAAAGCAAACACGTAAAATATTTATTCATTTAAAACAATAATAAATCTGTTATATGTTAACATAACATAAATAATAATAATAATAATTATTATTATTATTTTGAGACGGAGTTTCGCTCTTGTTACCCAGGCTGGAGTGCAATGGTACAATCTCAGCTCACCACAACCTCCGCCTCCTGGGTTCAAGCAATTCTCCTGCCTCAGCCTCCCGAGTAGCTGGGACTACAGGCATGTGCCACCATGCCCAGCTAATTTTTGTATTTTTAGTAGAGACGGGGTTTCACCATGTTGACCAGGATGGTCTCGATCTCTTGACCTTGTGATCCACCCGCCTCGGCCTCCCAAAGTGCTGGGATTATAATAATTATTTTTTGAGATAGGTTCTGGCCATATTGCCCAGGCTGATTTTAAACTCCTGGGCTCAGGTGATCTTCCCACCTCAGCCTCCCGAAATTACAGGTGTGAGCATTTCATTTGGCCTAATAACATTTTTGATGAAAAATAACTATTTTCCAAAGCAAAAAGAATTTAGTGAGAAGAGTGGCATTATTTTACATTTCTGCAAATCTCTTCAGTGTCTGGGCCAATAGAAGATTCTCATATCTGCATCTGCATTCAATCTGTTGCAATATCACAGGCATGTAGCCTCTGGAAGACCCCACTGTATTGTTATTGGAGTCAAAAAGGGAAATAAAGTCTTAGTATGAAAATAATTTTGACCTTGTGAATTCCCTGACTACACTTTCAGAACCATTGATTTAGACATCATTATATCTACTTTTTAGTTACTTAGTGCTCCCAAAGTACTCTCTCTGACTTTCTGTAGCTGTGTAATCAACCTCACCTCCTGCGTCCTGCGTAAGAGTCAAATGTTAGTTATTGCTATACTTTTTAGCACACATGGAAAACTTTAGAAACAACAATTCTTAATGAATAACAAGTCTTAGAAACACATTTTTGTCTTTCACTAACAAGGAAAAATTATCTCCATTGTATTATTCCTGATAGTACAGGGAGATATAGTTACTTTATGACTAAGGCAAATGTTAGACTGAGACCAAACACAATGTCGGGTGCCTTATATAAATTGATGTTACTGGAGAATCATGTCTGTGTGTGAGGCATGTGTTAAGTGCTTTACGTACATTATCTTATTTTATTCTCACAAGAATCTTACAAGATGGGTAGTACGGTCGTTCCTATTTTGCAGATGAGTAAACGGATACGGAGAGGTTGTTAATGCCTAGTGTTACACACGACTGAGGCAGGATTATGAATTCAGATAGCCTGACCCCGAGCAGTCAGTCTGCTATCTACTGATAAGTTATAAAGGTAGGAAGTAGAGCAAGATTAGCATAAAATGAGTGCTGAGATGTGAGAGGGAGTTTAGCAAAGCAAAAAGCCTTTAGGGACAAGACAACTGAGATACCAAGATTGAAATTATATTATTTTCCACCCTAGAAAAATTCTGCTTTACTTTCCACACTCTCAGGTTCCTCTTCTAATTTTTAAGATATTTTACCGCTGGTGGCCTCGTCGCTTAGGCCTGACGCTGACGCTGAAATCAACAGGAGCGGGGCGGGGGGCGGGGGACGGGGGAGAACCTGTGGTAACCACAGTAACGGTGGCGGGGCGAGAACCCTGAGCAAGCGCGTTACATCCCAGGCCCTCTCGCCCACCCCACGGCGGCCGGTCCCGGCCCCTCCTCTAGGCCTCAGACTCCACGGCCCGGCCACGGGTGGGGGCAAGAGGCCCGGGCTGGGCGCCTGCGCAGTCGCCGAGGCGCTGGTGTGATCGAGCTCACGTAGCGAGGGCTGCAGTCGCCTCCTCCCTGGCGCTGCCGGCGCGGCCTAGAGGTTATAAAAGGGCTAGCGGGCTCCCTCTGCTGCCCAGTCGCGCCGCCAGCGGGCTGAGGGCCGGGGTGTAGACAGCTGCTCCGAGTGGAGGCGACAAGAGACTGAAGAGCGCGCCGCCCTGCCGTCCCACTTCCCAGGTGAGACGCTCCCTCGACCCCGCAGGCTGAGGTTGAGGCCACAGGCCAGCAGTGGTTCTTCTCGGACGGCTGCGGCGATCCGGTCCTCCCCGCTGTGGTGGGACCGCTGGGGCGGGGATTCCCCAGGTTACCGCAGCAGCCTCGGTACCTTCCCCGCGGGAGTCTCGGCCCTTCGCCCTGCGCCACGCGACTCCCGGCGGCTCCCCTCCTTCTTGCCCCTCTTCCCGCCTCCGTCCCCTGGTGCGCCTCCGGCCCCTGGGGCTGCTGCAGCCTCAGTCCCCGCCCAGGGACCAAGACTTTCTTGAATTTTCCTTCCCGGGAGGAATCACCCTGTTGATTTTTTTTTCCCCCAAGTTCTCCCGCACCTGGTCCTCCCTAACGAGACAGAGGGGAACGCGAGCGCGGGGCGTGGGCTTTTGGCCGCCACAGCCGCAGATGGTTTGCATGTGACGGTGGAGAGAGGATTTTAAGGCTTGGAACTAAAGCCGAAGCGCGCCAGGCATTTTTGCCCTATTGAAAGTCGTCAGGAGCGGGGGGGACCCCCCCCCCCAGAAAGTTCCGGCTGAACTCATCTGTTGCGCGCTGCCGTGCTGCCTCAGCAGCTAGACGTAGCCCGGGGCGCCGAGTTTTGTGCTCCTCGCACCCAGGAAGTCGAGTCTTTGGTAACCTTGTCGTCAGGGAAGCTTCCTTCCCTCTTCTTCCCCAGAACTTGTTTTTAAAGAGACAAGAGCTCTTCTCTCAATCTCTGTCTCTGTGTCTGTCTCTTGTCAACGGAGAATTTGCAGCTTTTAAAAGTCCACATCAGTCCAACAAATTCTATGGTTGTGTAAGGATTTTGAGTTGGATTATATGACTGGCCCCCGGATGTATGTTTCAATGGGGAGGAAGGATGGTATGATAAGTATGAGAAACTCTCTCTTAAATAATCGAGTCTGTTAAATACAAATTCAGTGTTTAGACACATCTTACGCGTTCCGAATAGAGTGAAGACTTTTGGAATTTTGCGCTGTTTTCTTTAAGAAAGGTTTGAAGAAGCAGCTGGATCCTCTTTTAGGAATTGATTTAAAAGGCCAGAGAGACTTGCCAATTTCCACTTAACTGTTTCTGGTTTCTCCGAGAGCGGTGGTTCTTGGACTTTCCCTTGGAAGGCACTCGGAGGGGATGAAATAGCCACTACGTGGGGGCGGGGGAGGGGCAAAGACGTGGCAGCAGTGTTCTTTCATCAATTTTTTACTCTCTCTCTTTTTAAAGTTCTAGTTAGAAACATATTTCCCCTTTTAGGTTTAGATATAGCTTATGAATGAGGCTAGTCTTTTCCTAAAATAATCAGATGAAAAATTCAGCCTGCATAGCAGGAACATTGGAAGTTAATTTAAAAAACAAACGGATTTTTAAAATCAAGTTTCTATGGAGAAAATGGGTATCCTAAGAGGATATATTAAAGAAACTGAAAGTGAACAATCTCAAATATATTTTGCCTTGATTTGAAATGTGAATAGACACCCCTTGATTTCTTTTTCTTTTTTTTTTTTTTTGGCTTGTGAGTGTAATTTAAGAATCTTAAATATGAACTTCAAATTTTACTTCTTTCGTTATGTGAGCAGCATAGATTTTATAACTTACCTTTAATAATAGTTATGGTCTGTTTTGGTTTTGGGACATTGTGCCTTAAGTCCTGCCACTGTTTTTGATAGCTGATGGCAAATGCTTCTTAGATTTACATATACTAACTAGGAAAAGGACTATTTCTGTCTCTTTTAAATGGATAGTGCTGTTTTTATTGACATTTTCATGAGTTTTATTTTGAAGTACTGAAAACCAGGACTTTCGTAGGACTTTGGCCAGTTTGTATTTTGATGGTAAAACAGATGAAAAATATGTACAACTTCTAATTATGCCAAAAAAAAAATAGTGCAAAAGACTATAGAAAAAAAAAGTTATATAATGTCTGTGTAGTGAGGGTTGTTGCAGATGAATCTTGGCTTTTTGGCAAGGAGCCATTAACCTTTTCTATTGTTGAAGAGTAAGCTGTATATTGAAAAGCAGTATTTTTCAGTAGGGCAAAAAAGTTCAAAAGGCATTTATTCCGGGGATGAAGCAAGAGCTGGGATAGCCATAAACCTTGTGAGCCTGCCTTTCTGTGGAAGCAATGCTTTATTTTACTTAGCAACCAGTTATCACGTAGGATGTAATTATTGCTCTTGAATGTATCTATGATATACATAATAGTGGTTCTCAAACTATTTTAAGGTCATGAAATCCTTTGAGAACCTTATGGAAGGTGTGGTCCTAGGTCAGAAAATGCAAATACACCCTACATGGAATTTTATGTGTCACTTCCTGCTCCTCATTCAAGTCCATCCATAAACTCTGTTGTAAGAACCCCTAAAAAGTAAAATAGATGTGAAGCTACTCTTTAAGAATATCTAGGCACGTTGAATATTTCTGAAAATTGAGCTGGGCATATCTGATTGGACTCAGATGACCTTAATACATTTTTGCCCAGAGGGTTTTAACAAAAGTTAATAGGTTATTAGAATTGTTGAATTGCTAAATTGTCTAGTCTGTGAAAATATATCATATTGCATGCTGTCATATATGGTAACTTATCTTTGGTTCTCCATTCTGAAAGTGGAACAGGCTTGGAAGTAAACAAAAATAAATTGCACAGGCCCTTGGCATTAAACTTTATTGCTTTTCTTGAAGTGAGATCTTGAATCTTGTAATTAAACAATAACGTGTTAAGTTTAAATATATGAATATAAGACAGACCAAATAAAATGAGTATATATGTGAAACTAGTTAAAGCTTTGTGTTTCTACTCAACGAAATTTACTTGTGTAAATTGAAGCTGTCCTGTCATTAGTTTTTCTCTAGCCAAATAAGAATTGCACCTGGATCAGGTGCAGTGGCCCATGCCTGTAATCCCAGCACTTTGGGAGGCTGAGGTGGGTGGATTACAAGGTCAAGAAATTGAGGCCATCCTGGCCAAAATGGCAAAACCCCGTCTCTACTAAAATTTCAAAAATTAGCTGGGCATGGTGGCGCACCCCTTTAGTCACAGCTACTCGGGAGGCTGAGTCAGGAAAATTGCTGGAACCCGGAAGGCAGTGAGCCAAGATTATGCCATTGCACTCTAGCCTGGTGACAGAGCGAGACTACATCTCAAAAAACAAAAAACAAAAAAACAGCTGGGCATGGTGGCTCATGTAATCCAGCACTTTGGGAGGCTGAGGTGGGTGGATCACCTGATGTCAGGAGTTTGAGACCAGCCTGGCCAACATGGTGAAACCCCATCTCTACTAAAAATACAAAAAATTAGCCAGGTGTGGTGGCATGTGCCTGTAATCCCAGCTACTCTTGAGGCTGAGGCAGGAGAATTGCTTGAACCGGGGAGGCAGAGGTTGCAGTAAGCCAAGGTCGCACCATTGCACTCCAGCCTGGGCAACAAGAGCAAGTCTCTGTCTCAAAAAAAATAAAATAAAATAAAAAATAAAAAAATTGCACCTGAACAGAAGCTTAGGCAACTCAAAAGGACTCTCTTTTAGGTTAGATACAACAGCAGTTTTTAAACTTGATGTGACGAAAACTATTCTTTTTCCTGGTCTTCCTGTGGATGATGAGTATGACAGTATATTTGGTTCGACATTTGCTAAAAATACATTATATAGATTCGGACTTCTTACCAAACTGCCATCATTGGTGAGTGAGTACTATGTTGGACTTCCTCTTCTTCCTGTTCAGTGTTTCATATAAATGTGTCCCTATGTTATTAGTTTGCTTATTTCTTATTTAAATAGTAATATTTAATGGAATTAGTACTCCACCTTTCTCTCTCTCTCTCCTTTTTTAAAGAGATAGGATCTTTCTCTGTTGCAGTGGCATGACCATAGTTCACTGCAGCCTGGAACTCCTGGGTTCAAGCAATCCTTCTGCCTCAGCCTCCTGGTGTAGCTGGGAGTACAGTTGCATGCTACCATACCTAGCTAATTCTTAAATTTTTTGTAGAGATAGGGTCTTGCTCTGTTGACCAGGCTAGTTTCGAACTCCTGTCCTGAAGTGATCCTCCCACCTCAGCCCCACAAAGTGAGCCACCTTGCCTGGTCATCCTTGCTTTCTTGTTGGACACTTGAGCTGTTTCACCATTGTAAGTACTGCAAAGAGAGGACTGTAATTTAGTGGTTTATCAACCTGTATAACTACAATAAACTTTAACCAATTTTAAAATTTATATTTAAATTTTTTTTTTAGAGACAAGGTCTTACTATGTTGCCCAGGCATGGTGGCTCATGCCTGTAATCTCAACACTTTGGAAGGCCGAGGCGGGAGGATCATTTGAGGCCAGGAGTTCAAGACCAGCCTGGTCAGCATAGTGAGACCCCATCTCTCTACAAAAAAAATTTTTTTTAATTAGTGGAGCATGGTTGCATGCATCTATAGTCTAAATACTTGGGAGGCTGAGGCGGGAGGATTGTTTGAGCTCAGGAGTTGGGTTCAAGTAGTTACAATATGCCCAGTAGACTAGAGGAGAATCAAGAGTGATGAGAAATGTTTCATAGAAGTAGGACATAAAAATTACATGATATACCACCATGTTGCTAACATTTTACTGGCTATTAAATCTGTAAGCACTGCATGGAAATGCATGTCTAGATTCACATCCTCTACAACCATGAATTCATTTTTCCCTGTTGTAGTGTATATAGTCTTATTTTGTCCATCTTTGCCTCAACTTGAGGACTTTGGTTCTGGCATTAGAATAAAGAGAGAATTGAAGGCTAGAAAGATAAGAGGTAGACTGGGGTAAATAACAGTGGAATTGTGGCAGAATAGTCTTTGGAGGGATGAAGTTGAGTATACTTGGGCCTCAGAGCAATAATCGATTTGTTAGGAGGAAAGGGACTGCTAAAGCCAGTTTTAAGTATTCTACTCTGACCTGAGTGGCCTTGGTTTAATAGTGTATATTCAGACATAAGAGTATATTTAACTTTTTTTGTACT